ATATTTGCTCGGTTCGGTTCGGTTAGCAAATACCTCAAAAAGATCGGTTAACCGAACCGTGCCCACCCCTAGGTACACCCATGGAGATTTCGTGGGTCGATTGGGCAGGACATTGAGGAGAAGTCTGCCTCATCGCGAAGGTTGAGGGGACGACGAGGAGGATGGAAAGTGACCGAGGATGGAGCAACCGAAGAAGAGAACGGAGGTTTCGACCACCAAAAAAGGTGGGGTCGAATGAGTGAATAGCTAGGGGTGGCAGAAGAAGGTGGAGGATTCATATCACGACTATAATTGCGGTCACCCTCGTCGGAGGTGGCGAAATTCAAGAAAGGGACAACGAAAATAAAATATTAGGATTTAGAAATCGGAGAAAGACAACATAGGGAGGAGAAGTACTAGCATATCGGAGAAGAAATTGATAAAAAAATTCCAAGAGAAAATAAAAGTGAAATAAACATGCAAAAGCCAAATAAGAACAAGGAAGAAAGGGAAACTTACACATCGTTGTTGATAAGTAGCAAGGAAGTGAGGATTTTGTTGGATGACAGTGGACTAAGTAACAAGAACTCCAGGAACAGGTTGAACTTTTGTCCAGCGCGGGAAGAAAGCTAGAGTATATATGCAAAAAATGTTGCAGAAGTGAAAAAACTAGCAAGGTGGACTAAGGCATCCTTTTGTTATGGGAAGGAGAAGGGAAGCAGAGGGGTCGATCGATCTCAGACACATGATCAAAGGTAGATTCAGCCATCCAGATCGAAAGCAGTACGTGAAATGACATGTCAAATTCGGTCGTTGGATTAAAGTGAAGGCGGACGGACAAGATCAGTCTCACATTAATTGGGGCGCACTGTGCGAGATCCGCACGGATTATGAAGCACTAGGCGACGAGATGTTTGGACTGGAGCAGGCACATGGCCACAGGACAGTTGGACAGGACATGTGTTGACGCGTGGCAGCCATTTGAAATTCAAGATTCAAAAAGGAAAAAAGCCCCGCAAAGGTCTGAATGAGAGCGCGGTAACGATTTCAAAGCAAGGATGGAGCCAATAAAAGAGGGAACCAACATGCCAGAACTAGAGAATAACCCTTTTTCACTCTTGGAGCGAGTTATCTTAACTCGACCAGAGTTGGCTTTGTGGGGGAGGGGGGGAGGGGGGGAGGAGGGGTTGCGCAGATATGAGATAACCACACCAGGTCGAGTAGACCAGAAAAGTGACAAAACTGCATCGAGCCAGTCATCAACTCGAACGAATAAGGAAGACCCCACAAGTCGAAAGAGTCGCATGTTGAAGAAGACATCAAGGACGAGAGGGGGTACCAATAGGTCAAATGGGCGCCTCTAGATGGCTTGGTAGAAATTTGACCTGAAAAAGTACCTGGTCGAAGGATCGACCAGAGAGGCGTACAACAGAGCTCGACATCGATTATACTCCACCTCAAGGTAATCGGAGTCCGTCGCACAGTTAGACCGTCTAATGAAGAAGACTAAATGTATGAAGGAATATAACAGGGAGTAAGACCCCGCGTGGATATGACCACGTGGCATATCAGAATTGGGCTGTTGGGGCAGTTCCAGAAGCTAGTGTAGTACGACGGGAAGTCCGGGTGTTCAGCTTGGGCAACACGATATCTCTCTCTATATAAGAGAGTAAGGTATGCCCTGAATTACATTACACTCTCTGAATACTCTTATACTGCACTTCATCTTCTACAATTGCTAACTTAAGCTGTGGAGACTCTTCACCGGAAAACCATCCAGTGTGAGGGCTCTCCAAGTCCAAAGGTGTTCAACAACGACCAAACTTGAGATCTAGCCATTTCTAGCCGCTTGAAGGTCCTTACGATCCAAATTTATTACACTTTGTTTAGAACATATGCACAACAACTAGTTACATTTTTTTTTTCTGACATTCTATAATCATAGTTTCTTTTTTATTTTATTTTTTTTTCGAACGATAGAAGTTTTGTTGAAGAAAAAAAACACATACATACATATAGAAAACAACTCAAAAGTCGAAAAGACAGCTTTTGACTCTACCGAGAGGACAGATCTAGAGGACCGCCTAGAATCTAAACTAGAACAAACGCATTCACTAACAAAGAAAAACGAACAAACTCCCCCAACTGGAGAATAGAATACACGCTCTTCTACGGGATAAAGCACGCTTCCCCTCAAGAGAAAACACACCTACACCAAACGGAAAAGCCAACAGAACTAGCTAAAAAAAACTGAACCCCACAACACAACACTATAATTTCACTCTGCAACACCAAGGAAGTTGTTAGACCTCCATCCCGAATGGCAATCAATACGTGATCGGGCCTATCCAAAGTCAATCATCCAACTCTATTAGCGCCAAAATACAAGCCAACAGAACTAGAAAAAACA